TTGGATTCCTCCAGGAACGATTTTGGCCTCTGGAATTTGGGGATTGGACTGGCCTGGGAGCCTGGCCCAGGAAAGATGCTGGTCTAGGGCAGCTGGTGGCGGTGCTACCCAGAGATGGAAAGGCAGATGGGGAGGAAAGAGGCCCCAAGGGCTCCTGGGGACTGCACTGAGGAGTTGGGTTGGTCTGGATGAAAAGGATCAGGAAGCAGCATTGGTTCCCCAGGTGTCTGGGGCCCCAAGAGAAGGAATGGGGCTGTGGGGGAGATGGGAAGGTGAATAGAGCTGGGGGAGTCAAGGCTAGGAGGGCGCGATGGGCTTATCCCAGAGAGAGGCCTGTGAGTAGGAGCGAAGCCTGGCAGGTCCTGCTGGCCCAGGGAAGCAGAGGGAGGTTGCAAAAATGTTTTACCAAATGTATGTTGGGATGAATGCCTTCACCATCTGATATACCCATGTTGGAGAATAATGAGGTCAAGACATATGATGCTTAATGTTTCTATATGTTTGTGAAACATCATCATCCTAAATGTATGTTTTCTACTTTTCTCTTGGGGTTGTTGATGATTCATTGATTTCTTTTTAATATTCTTGTTACACTGTTGCAGATTCCTATAAAATTAAGAAGACAAGGTCTTCTTCAAACAGAAAAACCCATTGTCCTAAAGGTTGTGCCACGAGATGAGATCATAACAGGAGCATAAATTTCCCTTGGGAGTTCTGCTGTGTTCTTCAAGAAAGCTGTCTGGGAATATTGGAAAGTTTAATTTACCTCATGAATAAAACCTAGATGAAGATAAAACTTAATCTACTGGCCTCGATGGATGACTCAGGATTCAGCACATCCATTGAGTTTTCTCAGTGCCACAGACTGTCATGTATTGGGCAATGTAAATGGAATAACTCAGTTAACGGCAGATCAGTAAATCTCTCTTTTGTGGTCTTCATGGGGCCATCGCCTCTCACATCTGGTTAGGTCTATCAGTTCCCTTTAAATTCTTAGAACAACCATCTCTCTGTAATTTGATCAGTCATGTCAAGTGAAAACAGGAACTGTTGTGGTGACTAATAGCAAAATATGTATCAGATGTGATCCTTGCTAATTCCATAATTTGTGCTGTATTGAGAATATAAATAAATATCTCTTTAAAAAGCTAATATCTTCGTATATATTAAGAGGGAAGCTAGAGATGTGAACCGGGGAGAATCAGAACTAAATATTTTTAGTTAGATGGTCCCACACTCATGCACATCCAGTGAGCACTGAATGGACTCAGTGTGTATTTAAAAAAAAAAGAGAACATATGATGTTGGGAGGGAAAGGTGGTTCTGGGATAGAGGAGGAATTTCGAGGGTGGATTTGATACAAACTCATTTTTCCCGTGTATGAATATCAAATAAAATATTAAAAACAAACATTAAAATATTATAAGACATTTAAACATTTAATATTTAAAGTATATAAAATATAAAACTATTTCATAATATATTTTTATTTACTATTTGAGGATCTCATGCATGCACACAATGTGTTTTGATCACACCTGTCCTGTACTCCCCTCTTTCAAATCCTCATGGATACCCTCTTTCATCTCCCTCCCAGTTTTGTGTGCTGTTTTGGTTTATAACCAACTGACTCTAATTAGTGCTGCCCATATGTGCATGAGTGAAGAGCCATTCACTGGAGCACGGGCAACCTACCACGTGCCACACCCCTAAAGTAGATGGACTCTCCCTTCCCTGGAAGGCATCAGTTGTCAATAGCTCCTCAGCTAGTGGTGGGGGGTGTGTGTCCATCCCCATTCACACTGGAATATTGTCTGGATGATCTTGTGTGGGTCTTGTGCGAGCAACCACATCTTCTGTGAGTTCATGAGGGCAGAGATTTGTCATGCCCAGAAGACAGTGAAAAATGAAACATTTTTGGGCTTCATAGTTACTGATTGTGTGGGTCTAGTTTACAGTCCAAATTCGGTTAATAGTACAGGTGAGGGTGAATCCTCTGCATTTTCCTGCTTTTTAGAAAGTATATTCATTCATTCTGTTGTTATTTTTGTGTGCTGCATGCCTATGTATGTGTTTGTGTGTGCATGGAGGCCGGAGTCAGATATTGGGGTGTCTTCCCTCAGTTGCTCTTCACCCTATTCTTATTATTTTAAATTAAATTATTTGTTTAGTGTGTGTGTGTTTGTGTGTGTGTGTGTATGTGTGCATGTGTCACAGTGCATATGTGGAGATCAGAGGACATCTTGCAGGAATCAGTTCTCTCCTATGCTGTGTGTGAGTTATGGTTGGTAGCTGGTTATCTTTATTCATGGAGCCATCTTGCTGGTCTTCCATCTTATTTTTATTTAGTTTTTAAAAAAATTATTTATTATTTTTATTTATTTTATTTTATGTGTATGTGTGCATTGACTGCATGTAGGTAAGTGCACCCACGTTATGCAATGCCTGTGGAGGACAGAAGAGGCTGTTGGATCCCCTAGAACTGGAGTTACGGACAGTTGTTAGCTGCCACGTGGGTGCTGGGATTCAAACCCAGGTCTTCTGCAAGAACAGTCAATGTTCTTAACTGCTGAGCCATCTCTAAAGGTTTTTTTTTTTTCAACTTTTTGAGACACAGAATCCCTGTATCCCCAGCTGGCCTGGAACTTGCTATGTAGACCAGGCTAGCCTGGATTCAAGGCACGCACCACCACGCCCGGCATAAGCTTGAAATTTTTACTTGTTAGATCTAATAGGGTGTTTGTGTGCACACATTACATCTGCAAAGTGATTTATTCTTCTTCCTTCCTTCAGCTGGTTTCGTTGACTCATTACACTATGTGACGCCTGTAACACGACACTGTATGTGAAGACTGATAAAGGCGCACCCTTGACCTGTCCCAATAGTGTACCTTGAAGTATAAAAGCTGTTTTGTTTTAGATGCTCTTTATCAAATTAGGAAGTTTCATTATAGTCCCCATTTTCTGACTTACATACTACCAAATGCTTCTTCTGAATCTACTGAGATGGCCATATGGACTTTCTCCTTTATTCTGTTACTGTGGTCAATTACACTAAATGATTTTTGAATAACTTTTATTCTTAGAATAACTCCAACTTAGTTCTAATGTATTATCTTTTCCCTTTAATTGTTAAATTTGATTTACTAATATTCTTAATTAGTTTTACATCCATGGACATGGTAGCTATTGATCTAAATTCCTTTTCTTGCAATGTCCTTATCTGGACAGGCTTATACTGGACTCACAAAAAGAGGTCAAAAGTGTGTTCTCTGCCTCCACACCAATGCACCAACTGCACTTACAATCTTCTATTTGGAATTTTTTATTTTTTGGTGTTTTTGAGACAGGGTCTCCCTGTAGCCCCAGCTGGCCTGGAACTCACTATGTTGATCAGGCTGTCCTTGAATTCATGGAGATCTGCCTGCCTCTGTGGGCCTCTGCCTACCAAGTGCTGGGATTAAAGGCATGCACCACCACGCCCGGCCTCCACCTTATTTTTTGAGACAAGTTCTCTCACTGAACCTGGAGCTCACTGATTAAGCAATACTATCTGGCCAGTGAGCCCCAGGGGACCCCCTGTATTAGTCACTTTTCTGTTGCTGTGATAGAAATACTGACCAAAGCAATTTATAGAAGGAAGAGTTTATTTGAGCTTATGTTTCCAGGGGAATTATAGTCTGTCATGGCAGGGAGGCATGGTGGCAGGAGGTGGCAAGAGCAACAGAAAAGAGCAGAGGTACACATCTTCAAGCAGACACAGGAAGCAGAGAGCAAAGCTTAAGAACGCTCTAAGCCCACCTGCAGTGACATGCTTCCTCCAGTATGCTCACATCTTCTAAGGCCTCCTAAAACAGTGCCACCAATTGGATCTGGGGACAAAATGTCCAAATACTTGGAGCCTATGGGGGACATTTTCATTCAAACCACCACATTCCACACCCTGGCCCCCATAAGTTCATGACCATATAAAATGCAAAATGCTTTTAGTCCAACTTTAGAAGTCCCCATAGTCATTATTAATGTCACTACTATTCAAAAGTCCACAGTCCAATGTCTCCTCTGAGACTCAGTGAAATATCTTAACTGTAAGCCCCTGTAAAAATCAAAAGACAAATTACATACGCCCAATATACAGTGGAACCAAATACACATTACCATTCCAAAAAGAAGGAATAGAAGCACAGCAAGGAAGTACTGGACCAAAACAAGACCGAAAACCAGCAGGACAAACACCAAATCCAGCAGCTCCACGTCCAACTTCTGGAACTTTACTTCCAAAGGGCTTAGATGGCTCAGCCTCTCTAGCTTTGCTACATGTAACACACATCTCTCACTTGAGCTGGTACCACTCCCTGTATGCAGGTCTTCTTGGCAGATGCTTCACAGCTCTGGCATCATGGACATCTTCTTGCAGTCTCCATTGCCAACCAGGCTTCACCTTCACAGCTTCACAGAATGGCCTATCAGGGCCTTCTCTAGGCAGGGGGAACCCCTGCTTCACGCTGCCTGGCCTCCAAGGCTCTCTGAAACCACAGAGGAAGAATTGATGACCCCTTTACTCTTTCATCTTTCATGCCTCTAAAGCCAGTACCAAGTGAACTATACTGCCAACTTTGACTGCAGGTTTGGGATCGACTCCAGTCTGCTTTACCCATTTTAGAAGCTTTTCTCTTCAGTGGCCCCTGCAGCATTTTCCTTTCATGAGCTGGAGGCTTAACTAGATGTGGTCTTGCCCTGGAGGCACTCTCTGCTATTTAAGTCTGAATCCCTAGACCCCTCCTTAATCACTTTAATCTTATCAAAGTGATCCTCTTCAGCACATGCCAAGGCTCCAACATTTATCTTCCTAGTGCTCTTTTTCAGTCCAAACTGTATTTCTTTCTGTCCTATTTGCTCTTTTTCACTGTAGATCTGCATAATATTCACCATTAATACCCACACCACCATTTCTACATTAGGCTGTCTTGAAATTTCTTCTGTCAGAGAAATTAGTCCATTACTTTTCAACTTAGCCTCAGGCAAGCTTTTAGGTCAGGGCAGACTCCAGGCAGACTCTTTGCTAAAATATTCCAAGTGCTGCTTAAGTCCTTATTTCCTTCTGGAACTACATTGGTCCCAGCACTGCTTCTTCCAGGTGTTTACTAGAATGGCCTGTTAAGCTCCTCTTACAGCAATCAGCTGCTTTTCTAGCCCAAACTTCCAAAGTCTCCCACATTTCTTCAAAACCCCACATGGCCAAGTTCTTCACTGTAGCAGGAGGCCTCCAAAGATGGCATGGACCCAGAGCCCTGGGATTCAGCAAGAATTCACTTCACTTCTTGGTATGCAAATAGCCCACCCAAGGGAGCCCACGCCTCCTACCCTGCTTGCAAGCCCAGTGACTGCTGACAGACTGCATGGTGCGGACCAATCAGAAAATGATATGCTGACTAAAGGGACTTGGGGGCAGAGAAAAGGGAAATATAAGGTGTGCCTCCTCCTGCATTAAACGAGTCTGCAGCACCTCGCCTAGTGCTTGTTTCTACCTGACTCCCGGGGTCTGTGTGTCGTGACTCCGCGCCTCTTACCCTCCCCAATCGGCAGGGGATCCGATCCAGGTTAGGGTCTTCACAGCTGGCCTGAGGTGAACTCGCAACACCTGGTGCCTGAACAGGGACTCCTGTCCACAGTGTTGGTGACACCCAGAACCTCGATTCGTTTAGTAAGTAGGCCCCTGCTCTTGTCTGTTTCTTTGGCTGCTCGAGGGTAAGTGAGTAGCCCCCTCCTCTGTCCCCTCCACCCTGTCTGTCATCTTTATTGTTGGACTAGTTTGTTAGATCAGGGAGGCACACTCCACCACGTGGTCCTGAAGCCCACGTCAGCACTTCCCTCCCCTCGGCTCGTCCCAGTGAGTTCACATAAGGGCTGATTCACCCCGAACTCAGAGCCCAGGCTTCGGGTCACCCTGTTGCCTGTCCCTCCTCTCTGTGAGTTCACATAAGGGCTGATCCACCCTGAACTCAGAGCCCAGGCTTTAGGTCACCCTGTTGCCTGTCCCGGAGACACTGTGTGAGCATACAGCTAGAGGTGTCATGGTCTCCAGAAGTCCCTCACTGAGCACAAGACATTTGGATCTGATGCACCTTTACATGTCGGGGTGGTTTACATCC